GGATGTGTGTGTGATGTTACACTTGCAAATGCTTGGTAACAAGCCTTAGAAGATTGTGTCAGTGCTGCTTTTTTCAGTACTGCTTTTTTCAGTACTGCTCTTTTAACTTCAGTGGCTGACAAAGCCTGTTCCCTTTTAGGTGTGTTGTTAGATTGCACTAAATATTTTTCTCTTTGATATCGGTTGTTCAGTTTTTAATAGAATTGCAGCTGTCTTCTCATTTCTAAATTAATCAGTAAAATCTTAAATCACTGCCTAAAGAGGTGTTTCAGTAGCTGAACTCTGCTAACAGGACTATCCGTATGCAGTTTGTCTAGGATTCTGTCAATCTATGGTTTTTATGTCCTTTACGAATCTTCAGTGTTGCTAGATGCCCAATTAATATATTGGTAAAACATAGCCCTTCATGTGCAAATGGCTAAACCCCACTATTTTACATCTTTTGGGAAATGGTGGTGTGTGCTTTTTATATCCTTCAGGTCTGGACCTGAATGATATTGTTCATTGTCTATGTTCAGTACACTGCATTTGGTACTATGAAGCTAATGAAGGTAATACGCTTACTCTAAATCTTAGTGGCCCTGAAAGAGGGTTTTGCTCGGATTGATTTCTCCCTTGATACCAGCACTACATTTGGTGCTCAGTTACACGTCTCGGATTTAGGGAACCTCCAGCCACAAGAGGACACCATGTTCTATGGAATGACCTATTAACTACTACAACAGAGTCATAGAATACTATTCACTTTCTTTCTGTGCAAAATATTGGAGCTCTGAGGAGGGAACTTGACTAGCAGAGAGTAATGTAGAAAAAACTGTGAGAACTATTAATTTTCATGCTTAATTTTCCTGCTTTACTGCAAGGTAAACCAGGGAGATCACATTCAAATGCAAAGCTGCAGAGTTTTCTGACACAGGGAAAATTTGCCTTTGAGGCTGGTGACCTTATTTTCAGTATCAGTTTAAACGTTTGAACTAATGAAAGCACTGAAAAGAATAATTTGATTTATAAATGTTGCTTTGAATTGTCAGGACAGATAATGTGACTGCTGAAGGAAAATATATTAATAATGTTTGCAATGTTCCATGTTCCATGTATTAGGTTTCATATATACTAGTCCCCGTGGTGTATATTTTCTACTAACAATCTGTCAGTTCTGGTAGTAAATAATTGTCAAAATCTTTGTAAGTAGTCTTTGCAAGAATAAGTAGTTTTCCATTAGCTTACCAATGTTTTGTTTGAGTGAAAATCAGAAACATACTTGCTCTTTTTTATATGTATGAGACAGGTCATATGCTCATCATGTATTTTTGTACTTAATTTTTAAACTGTAGATAATTTTAGTTAAAACTGTGTCTTAACACTTGAACTGTTTGGTTTTGTAATCTTAAAACATGCTCCCCATGTATCAGCCTGTTTTGTGATTTGCTAATTATTTTATATGTAGGTGTATATACTAAGACTTGTAATTTCAAATTATGTTTTTCTTGCATGAAATAGATTTTTGCCTTTTAGCCAGCCTTCAGGTGCTTTGGATCTTTTGAATTCGTAAGTCCATTATCACAGTCTTTGTAACTACTGCTTTCCCGTCAGGATCCTGACATCCAAAGGACTGGCTGGTGTCTCACTTCTTGAAATGTTGCTTTCAGCATAGTGGTTGAGTAATAATACAGGAGCATTTACTGCACCTATTATTCATTTTTTTGAATATCCCGAAAATCTCAGTTGCTGCTTCTGCATTGGGCAGATCATAATGCTTACGGAATGGATTTTAGTAACTGAGTAAGCATTTAATTAAGTATCCTTGTGCAAGGGTATTGTCCCAGTAAAGGACATATCAAAATAGAGATGGTTCTTTGCTTCCACAGAAGATGTGAATTCAGTGATTGTCTAAGTATGTAGAAATTAAATAAGGTAGCTTTCTGCTGAGTGCTGACTTGACTGCATGATATCCTTTGCTTTCCTTTAAAACACAGATACCCCATACGGAAAGAATACACAGCACTTTTCTGAGATTAGAATAGAGTGACTTTGCCATGACTCCTCAGCTGCCTAGGAGGAGCAGCACAGAAATCTTAAATAAGTTTTCTGACTAGAAAAAAATACTGAGAGCAACATCATTTATCACTTTTAGCCTATGCGACTGAAGTGTGTGAGCTTTTACTTTAGTCATAGCTTCTTTCATGCCCAAATGTTAGATAAATAACATTTATTTATTGCCTGTCAGCAACTGAGCTATATTGTTTAATTATTTTAAAAGTTACATTGTGTGATTATTTTAAAAGTTCGTAAATGTGTATCTTGAAAGATAGCTATTTGTATACACACATATACATGTATACACATATGACAGCATCAAAGATGGCATTTAGGAAGTACATGGAGCTGGCTTCTGGAATGTATCTTGTGATTGTGCAAGTTCTGTTCCCCAGGAACTTTCTCCCGTTCATGTCTGTGGAAATCCTGCCTTTGCACTAAGAGGGCATTCCATTTTTTGTTGTGTTATTTCCTGACAGCATAGCTGCTTTTTTATTACTGTCCAGCCTGTTTGCCTGTTGCTGAAGATAGGGGAGAGTTTAAGATGGTCTGCAGATTAACTGTTAGGTTAAAAGGTATAGAAGGTAAAGATTTTATTGCGAAGAAGCAGGCTTATGCTTATAATGCTTATTGTTTCTTAAAAGTTTATCAAGTGAAGAGTTGTTTAGCTGTGTGTGTCTGTGTATATACATGAAGTCGTTTGAAGCCATTCAAATTAGAGTTTGAATGTTAGTGGTTTTGCTCTGAAGTGTTTCATATTATGTTGTTATGTAACCCATTGTGTACTTCCTCATGTAAGGGTCGCCATTTTTGGCGATTGGGGCTTGCATATTCAGGGACCCTTTTAAAGCTGCTTTTTAGGCAGATGATGGAGGTACTAAACTTTTCCCTTAGCAAGAGGAGGAGGAGCATGAGAGGAATCAGCTCTTTGAAAGAACTCCTCTCCTCATGCCATCCCCCTTCAGCTCCCTCAGGGGAACCATTTTGGATTAGGGACAGAGATCACCAGACCAGTGCATTTCCATGAAGATTCCAGTTCTGGATCCTCTGCTTCCTCTCTTCGTTTTCTACTGTCTCTGTGGCATGAAGTACTCATATATCCACAGGTATCTAAGGTACAGTTCTGGTGTTTAAGATTTCTTGTTATATTTTGTGCAAGAATTTTTCTGTGGGAGAGGGAAGGGATCTAGCTGCTACTGAGTTGGGCTGAGGAGGGAGAGTTGGTTTGATAAGATAGCTGTTGGGGGGGGGCAGAAAACACACATCTTTGGTAATATTGTTCAGAAAGTGTGATGCTACCTAGTTTTTTTTGAAGGTTAGTGACCTGTTCAGTAGAGCTGGTTTTACCTCCTCAACACAAGACCTGTGTGTTTGCCATAATCACTCACATTTACTACACAGTATATGAATTTAGAGTTCAGTGTTTGTTGTCCTGTGCTCACTGCCTTACACTGTGCATTACATAGTTTGTATATACATACAGTAACACAGTGTGTATTTTGCTGTTGTAAAGCAGTGTAACTGTGAGGTACTGTTGACTCAGAGGTAAGGCCTGGCAGAAACGAGGACTGAAACTTCTTCCATCTTTCAAATCTGGAAAAGGACCTGCGTTCATAGGTTTTTCAACTTCACTACTATTCCAGTATATACCTGTTGTGAAACTGAGTGTTTAGGGATGCTAAAAGAATCATGGTCGGATATTAATAGAAGTGATTTTAATAGAAATCTACATTTTTGGACTACTATTTATAGGGTGGTGAGATGACTGGCTTTAGTCAGTGTAGATTTTTATCCTGGCATCTTATCTTTGTCAGGGAATGATTGACCATCCCAGAAGAACTGATATGATAAAGGAGTATCTGACCTTCCTGGTATCTGTGTGGCCCCTCCTGCTGTTGGTAGTCGATTAGAGTTAATGGTCAGGGAATGCCCCACTATCCAGTTCCTTGCATTATTGCAAAGGCTGGGGCCTAACAGGGAATCCTTGGGTAGGCGTGTGGGTCCGGGACAGAGGTGAGGGACGCATCACCACAATATCCTAGACCATCATGCTAATAAAAACACTACCAGTAGTTCTAGACTGACATGGAAAATCACATTGATGGTTTAAAGGAATTATTTCACATGTTCCATGCGTATATGTCCATTGTACATTTTATTGCCATGATTGCAAATGGGATTCTAATATCTAATGTACTGGCAGTGTTTGAAATACGTATTTTAAACTTGGAAGTGTAACAATTCCTGTTTTACTAGTACGTAGGCAATAACAGAAGAAATACGGAATACTTGAAAGATGATTCAGAAAGAATCTTGGGTAAGAAAGTTATTTCATTTTAGGCCTGGGTGTATTTGTGTCCTGATTCAGTAAAGTGCTTCAGGTCATCCTAAACTTTTAAGAATGTGTTTGATTTGCATTGAAATCAAAGTAGAGATATGTGTGCTTTTTGTACTTTATGGGCTTTAGTAGCTCATAGGAGCTATCCATCAGGTTAGTTTGTCAAACTCATACTGTCATAGGGAGCTGTGACTTAAAAAACAGAGGAGAAAGCAAAACTTCTAGCCAATACCTTTGGGGCAGTGGGCTAAATAATATTTCTTAGTACTAAGCTTTGATATCCTATGTCTTCAGTAGAATTTTATAAAATTATGTCTCTCTGATGTTTCAGAATTGGAATACATTTATTAAAGGAGAGAAGCTTTGAAAATATAAATCCTTAAGTTATATATTGCAAATTTTAAGGGTTACTCTCATTAATGCTGGCTTAATTTGATTTTTGTATGAGGTAATACAGATGCTTAAATTCTGTATTATTCTTGCATTTCAAAGTGAGTAGATTTTAATTTTCAACCCCCTTAGTGGACTTAATTAGTACATTGAGTTATTTTCATATACTATTTTGGGTTTTTGCAAAAACTGTATCTCATATAAATTTGACAGACATGCTTATGTTATAATATACATTGTGTTCAAATCGGGAAAGGAACTCAATATTATCTTTATAGCCATACGTGTTAATTCTATAATGCTGTTTTTACGGCATGCTAAAGCCATAAAAGAAATTGTGTTTCGTTAAGGTCACTATGTTACTTTATAACTGGAAAGTTAAATTCTCAGAGAAGAATGAGCTTTAAATAAGCCATTGAGATTAGATTAATGCAATCTGGATTTCAATAGGTAACTTAATTGAAGTACCATACAGATAGAAATAAGAATAATTTCACGCTTGGCATAATTATTCAGATTTCTAGTCACAGCACACCTCTTCCCTGATGCTGCCACCTGAGCGCTAAGGGGGACTACAGAGTATTTCGAATCTGGAATCCAGATCCTTTGGGTTTTCTCCTGGAAAAGACTGCGGTTGATGTTTTATGTATACAGCACTTGAGCAACAGCATTCAGATCTTTGTTTTCATTTATTTGTCATATCACTAAGCGAATGGAAATAAACCAGTGGGATATAGATGGCTTTTATATGACAAATACTTTATAGCAAATACTTCTAGTTCTGTGGTATGGAAAGTTTGGGTTACCTGAAATCCAGCATGAAAATGGAAGCTAGCGCAGTTCACAGTGCTGTGTTTCATTTCTTGGTGGCTTAATTTAAAGGGTAAGCAGTTTGCCAACTCAGACTTATCCATCTCTTTCAGAATCTCACTGAATTAATGCGTTCATTTGATGCTCAAGTGTAACATTTCATGAAAATTGTGAATTGAGTCTTTGGTTGTTTGTTTTTTTTTCCGAGTTACAAATATTTACTGTTAATTCTGTTGAAGAATGAGGAACACAGACTATGAAGGGTCTACAAAATACATTTTTTCTAGTCAAATGGTGGTTTTTTTGCTGTCTGTTAATCTTATAGCTAAAGAAAAGCAATTTATTCTAACAAATTATTCAAGATGGAGCCCACAGGAATAGTTGAGATGCTGTTGCTGTACATTATGACATTATACGGGGAAAGTAATGTGATTTACATGCTGCTTGGGCAACTGCTAGATAAAAATATTGCAGTTTTATACCAACTCATGCACCGTTTGGGTATTCTGGTAGCCTCCTGGTATGAAATGAAAATATAAAAATAATCCTAAACATTTATGTCTTACTGTGGTGGTGATGCTTATTGGTGATTACCAAGGATTCTTCAAGTGCCTCAGCCAATTCAGAGTAGTACAAGACATAGTTTGACTGAGATTTGATGACATGGGGGAAGAATTGATCAAAATGGGATTGTCTGTTTTTTAGATGAGCCAAGGGACTGCACCTTTTTGTATCTGTTAACATGTTCGTACTCTGGACTTGCTTAGAGGATGCCATGCAGCAATATTGTATTCTAAGAAAGCACAGACAAGTAGCTAGAATGCAGTGGTATATAAACTACCCTCTTAAAATAAAATGTAAGACTTCAAGGTTTGAATATAAAACATATTTGAGAGGTGTAGACCGAGCTTGCAGCTCTTGTGGTGACCTGAGAAGGCTGCAGAGCTGCTGAGCCACCACTGCCCAGAGAGGCTGTGGCTGCCTTATCCCTGGTCTGGTGAAAGGTGTCCCTGCTCATGTCAGGAGGTTGGAACTGTATGAGCTTTAAGGTCCCTTCCAACCCAAACCATTCCATGATTCTCTGATTTCCTTCCTGAACAGGTAGGCTGTGCTGAGCAGCTCAGCACAGTACTGCAGGAGATACCTCAAGTCTTAAAAAATTAGAAATGCTGATGAAAATGTTACAGTTGTCCACATAAATTTAGTTTTGACTGAGGGCAATGACATAGTTGACCCTTAGTATGTTTGTTTGCTGCTGGATGGTTTTGTAGCAATGTCTTTTTCAGATGACTTTATCTAAAAGCATCTCTTACTTTCTGGTGTCCTTGAAATGAACCCATAGTTGGAGATGGAAACACATCCACTATTTTAGTAGAGAAACACAGAGTAGTTACTACAATTATGGAATAAATATCCATTTAAAGAAAGATTTCTTTTCAAAACTGAAAATTCCTTGATTCCTTATTTCTGTTTCATCCTGTTAAATTCCTGTTTGTTCCACTGAACAGTAGATGTACATAAAACGATGTACACGTGTACAGTGGAATGGGAAAGGTGGCAGTTTCGCCTGTTGTACAGCCTTGTTTTGTTGTCTAATGCCAGCCTCATTCTGCCTGACAGAAACCTGCAAATACAAGTAGGATGGGAATTTTAAGCTCATGTACTTTCAGTAATTTTGAGATTATTTTTGTATAACGTGGTAGTATATGGTATATCTGGTTTTCAAAACTGTTCCTTCATAAAACTGCTTCATGATGCAGTAGTTACTGAAGGGCAGGTACACTGAAGTCATGTGACCTTTGCAAAGGTGTCAGTAAAAATTGCTACTTGCTATCTTTTTTTAATCACAAAGCAGTGAGAATGACATTGAATGTTTCATTAGCTCCCAGTTCTGCTTCTGATTTCCAGCTTTATTTTGAAGTTAACAGTTTGGTGCCCTGTAAACAGACAAAACCTGATACAGTAATTTTGCTAAGACTTGTTGACAAAGATTGTGAAAAATATTAGGCTCCACTAGAAGAACCTGAGCTTATTTTTGCATTTGCAGGTCCATCTCTGAATAGTGTTATTGGGCACTTTATTGCCCATAGTTATTGGGCACTGGGATGCACTGTGTGCTACCAGAGGCTGATACAGCTCTCATTAAATCCTAAAGCCATATTTCTTTTTATTTTAATTGAGTTGGACTGAGCCCTGAGCTGTTTTGTTGTTTGGTTTTGTTTTTTCCTTTTTTTCCCCAGCACTAACAAGAGGAGGTTAGTGAAAGGATAAATAATGGTTAGAACATCAGCAACAGTGCATTTTATGTTGATTTCAACAGCACCAAACCCAGAATATGAAAGTTTTATCTGCCCCTAAGTCCTGGCAGGTAACCATGGCAATCATACAATTTCCAACAGCTCATGGAAAATACTTAAAACTTCTAAAGTGAGCTGTCCCATTAATAATGAAGAACATCAGTGTTTTGCCATCTGTTATGTGCTACCAGTGTATATGAAAGACCAGCAGTTGTGTAAAACAATTTCAGCTGCAAGTTGGAATCAGTTTGGCTTATAATGAAAACCTGCAAAACAGCATAATGTAGAATGTGGTGCATCGGACTCTGCTTTTTAGTTTATAGCTTAACATAATCTTCTAATACCTGCTAAGAGTCTGTAAGATTTCCATTATGTATTCTCATTTTTAAATACCTGCAATTTGATATATGCATTTTATTGTGGGCAGATTCTCAGACAAAAAAAAAGTAATAAAATATTTTGGGAGGTATTAATTTCAGATTAAGAAATCTTTTCCCAGATGTGTTTTGCTGCTCCTGCAATCTGAAGCACTTTTAACTGGAATTTTGTGGGCCCTTAATCAAAAGTACATGCTCAGGGACTGTGGTCTAGGAAATAAGTTCATGCAGAAACAGAAGTAGCTTTAGTTACAGAACATATGTCTACAAATGGAAGGTGAATGCTGGTATGTTTAGTCTCAGTTAACAATTTGTGGTTAGAAGCTTCCTCTGCGTAACTTGGTGGTGAACATGGCCAAGATGTGCTACAGATGTATATCAGAGTCTCTGCATGCTTTTTCTGTTACTGAATCCCACTCTATATAGTACCTTTCTTTTAATAGGGGAAGAGAGGTTCTTAATCAGTTAGGAAGGGCAGCGGATTATGGTTCTAGGCAGTGTATCCCTGCATGTACTAGTTCCTTTTCTGTGCATGGAATGCATTCATGAGTGGTTGATCAAGCGGTGCCAGATGTGTGAGGCTTTTTACTGGTCACATTGGAGCTCCTTTTCAAGTACAGTCAGGTAATCTCAGCATCCTTACAAACAGCAGTAGTGGCTGTCCAGAAATCATTCCTCCCACTGAGGACGTGTGCAAAGAATTTATCTTTTGAATTGAAAAGAAATCTCCAATCTTGAAAGCAGATCTCCTGCCTTCTTGGAGCACACTTTTGTCCTCTCTAGTGCCATGGGACCAGGGATTGCGTTTATCATGGATATAGTAGCAGATGTTTTATAAAAAGTTTCTTCAAGTTTGAGGATCCATACCTCTACCACTGGAGCCAGTTAGAAGAACGGAAAGGACCAGTTAGCCTTAGCCTTGCCTTTTGGTTTTAAAGTCAGTAAGATTCTAGCCAACTGTTCAAATACCTTCATGGAAAGATTTGTAGAAACAGCATCTAGGGCTCGACTCAGTAAAATGCCTAAAAACATGTGCTCCCAAATTGGTTATGGAAGGATCTAGTATGTTCTATATAAAAATGGAGAAGAACCTAATATAGAACAGTCTGGGTTTTGTGTAATAATTTCAGATATTTATAATTCATATCCTGTAAACAGCTCCAGCTCTTGAAAGTATAGGAACCAAATACCTATAATGCTGGTTTTAGGACCAGTTTTGGCGTGTGCTTCTGGGAAAAACAATGTAAAGGGTTTTTTTGCAGAAGTATATGTAGTTGTAATTTTAACAAAATTATTTTGTCTCCAAAGTACATTCATATCAATCATACATAAGTCTGCATATTGAATTTTAGGGGAAGATCTTTGCTGGTCCCTGTGTGAATAGAAATGCGAGTACAGATTTGTATTGACAGATACAGTTTCATGTGTCCTAAAAGCATATTTAGTTTTTTTCACTGATAAAATACAAATCAAAATCTTTCCCTTTACTTTTTGCTTGTAAATAAAAATGCTGTTTAGGAGTTGGAATATAAAACACTAACTAGATTTCAGTTGTAGATAATTTGGTCTAATGGAAAGAGGGTAGTGGTTACCTTTTCATAACATGAGACTGAAAAAAAACAAACTGGCCAGCCTTTGAAACAGTTGTGTTTTTCTATTACCAATTATTCTAGTCACTATTTTGTGACAAAACCTCTTTGTTACTGTAACAACTTGTCAGTAACAACAGTGCAGTAAAATAATTCCTCTGAGTAGTCAACCTGCTGCTGCAAAATGTCTAATGGTGAAGTATAGACCTCCAGCTGAGTCGTTTTGCCCTTAGGTTACATTACCTCTGGTAAGGACAGTGGGCCTCTGTACCTGGTACAGAACCTCATGGTAGATTGCTTAGTGTTTAGTTAAGATTAAATTTCTGTCAGGCTAAAAGAGCAGTTTTGACTGTTTTCAGGCTGAGTATAATTTCTGAGATTTTCTGTATTTTGCTTATAAAAGTGGCAGAAAAATAGCTATATCATAAGCACCAATTAGATCAGCTTTAAACAGAAAAAATGCATTCCCTAAGCATGTTGTGTCAGTCTTAATTAGAAAACTCTGTGCTGTTATTATCTGTAGTTAATGGGATTCTTTACAATAACTTAGGGGATAGAAAGTACTAACACTGAGCACTTTGCTGCTGTGTTTATAACAAAGTGGTCCTGCCTGTGAAAAGAGATGTATATATTTAAATGCATGTGCAGTACAGGAGTTGTACTAAAAGAATGCAGCTTCTGCTGGAAAGTGTGTTTTAACATAATTGAAACAGTTTCACTGCAAATACTGCTGTTGAGGGTTTGTGACCAAAAACCCCTTAAGAACTGAAAAAAAGTGCTAATGATTGTGGAAAATGGGGATTTTCTTGAAAAGTGTAAATGGGGGCTTGAAAGCATAATTGGTGGAAAATGATTGAAGTAGAATCAAGGATGTGTGGTGGGGGTAAGGCCAGTTCTTTGGAGTGGCTCACAGCTGAGGCCGTGTCTGCACTGGGAACAGCTTGTAGAGCAAAGCAGTGCTCTTCCTGCCTCCATGATACACCATCACATAAGAGGAGGAGAGGATAACTCCAGAACTGAAATGGTCTCGTGCCAAGCATCACAGCTACTCACGTGGTTAAAGCTTTTGGAACCAAAGCCGTTCCACAAACTTCTTTCTTCCTCTCCAAGCCCTCCTGTGTGCCACACTTTATCTTCTGCCTCACACAGCCAGTGGTAGCAAGTTAGCATCCCTCCTAATGTGATCATGTGATACTTTAAATCCTTTGAGTAAAAGGTGGGAAGACAAGTTCCTTGAGCTAGTCAAGAATCCAGTAAGAACAAAAATTTTA